TAGCTAAGAGCTTAAATTAGTAAATAGAACTTAGTTATTAGTAGTAGTGCCTCTATTGACTTTATTAGCTACCTTATGCTAGTCGTTGTTCAGGACGAGTCTAAGAAGGCAACGCGTTATGCCGCCATTTTTCTAGCTTCCTGCGGAGTCTTTCCTGCGCTGGCCATCAGCATCACCTGGTTGCTAGACAATCAGGGAGGAGGCTCTAAGAAAAATTGTTTACCTATTTACTGTTGCACCCAATACATGTCCCAATTTCTATATAGCTCCTGCTGTAGAACTTGGATTACAGCCTGCATTATTGAATTCGTAGCACTAGACTTAGTCCTCCATTTATCTAGAGTATGATGGCGTATGAACTGACCCGTGCAGTTACTTATTACCCACTCTTTGTCGGTGATCTCAGGATAGCCCATAGCATCGTCGCAAGGAATGCTCTATATAAGTTAGCAATCTTTCACTCATTCAACATTTACAGACACACCAGTATACTCACCACAATTCTGTTATCGGAGTTGAAGTCGTAACGAATGTACTCCGAGAAAGCTCTCTGTTCGTGACTCCAATTTTTCTTCCAATGTCCACAATCCTGGTACGTCTTCCCGTCTGTGCAGCTTTTCCAGGCGTCTAGCATCGCCATCGTGTGCTCACCTCTCTGCACCACGATGAAGCCGGCATTGAGAACAACTTGCCCCCGACTGTCTTTACTGGCATCCTTGTCGCCGTTCTTAACTTCCATAGTGTCTACTGGCATAGCAATCGACGTATGATTTTGGACAAATCCCCATCGGTTGAACAGCCACTCAAGGGGGAGATTAAGATGTTGAAACGTTGTATCGGTGTCCATGGCCACAATGATTTTGTAGTGTGGCAAAAGGGAGTGCAATACGTGCGGCCGGATCCAGCTGGAGTCGTGGTCTGGTATCTCTCGTGCATTAATATACTTATCTATCAGAATATGTAAAGATTAGTAGAGCAGGGACTCTTGATTTTGAGATAACGATTATACAGCAACTCCAGATAGACATATCTGTATCACTTACTAGTGCAGCGTTAGAAGTTGCATAATCTACTGTACCTGTCAAGAGATACGTACCACGAATACCCATGAACTTGGGCTATCCAATAGTGTCACTAGTCAATCCTATGACTTATATAGAATACGCGCTTACCGTAGAGAAAGTGATTCATGACAGCAGCGCTGATGATTCCTCCGGCCTGTGTCGAGCTTAATGTCTCCCAATTCATTGCCTTTGGATGTGAACGGTTCTTAAAAATATCTGGGGTCCTAGTATCCATATCTATAATCAGTAGGTCGTGGCCAAGATGCGTTTTCCACGTTGGTTCATCTCTCATATCTAATCGGTACCCAAGAGCACCAGAGAACGACTTTTGTGTCATCGAGAGACGCGTAGGTGAAAACAGACGGCGAATTTCATCCCGGAAATGCTGTTCAGCGAGACTTGAGTGTGATTGAAGACTGACCATTAGCACTGGTCAGTTATTTTATGGCTGGCCTTGTGTCATACTTACAACGGTGAAAGTGGCTTTCCAACCTTTACTCCTTCTGGGTGGCGCCCAAAGGACGTATAAATGAGGAACTGTAGAATAATCGCAAGGGCCATCATTGCAATGGTAATCCGTTCAGCCGAGAGAAGTTGCATCTTGAGGGTGTTTCGAGACTTCTTTCTGTTTGCGATACGTACAATCAGATCGTATACAATACTAGATACGGCATCCGCAAGACATCTTCGACAAGATTTATGATGGGCAGTCGAGTAATACCTACCATCCATTTGCTCTGCTGTAGGCATCTTACGAAATGGAAACTTCCAGATAAGCCTACTATTTAAAGCCACCACTGCAAACCCAACGCGTCCATTGCTTTTCGCTATCCCTGGCCAGCGTGACACGTAAGTGTGTTATGCAACACGACTAAGATGGCTTATCTGCGGGGTTTCCTGCTCATAGCATATCGGTTTTGACCATTACGCATAACAGTAAGTCGCTGCGCCACCCCCCAAGAGGCCTGTTGGTGGTGTTAGATATCGATTGATATGAGTTAATGTCGCTGTCTGCACAGATGACGGGTCATTACGGTAGAGAGTTGCTTTTCGTTGGGTGGCCAAGTCCATAGTTATGGGGTCGGGACCAAGGAATGATGACCACGCCTATTCGCAACAGCATCCCTACGATCCCCATTGCTCAGGTTGGTTGAGTCTGCTTGCTTGTCACACTAGAATCAGGCCAGCTTCAGGCCGTAAGTACGGGCGATACGCACAGACGAGTTGTGATTTTGTGATTCTAAGCGAGTCAGTTGCTTTCTTAATTTATGCGATTGCAGAGAGTGGAAACTGCATATTGCATTTTATTATTAAATAGAATAGTATTATAGTTATACCTTGCTTATTTTTTATATTGCTTACTTTCTTAATTTATATAATTGCAGAAAGTAGCACCTGCGTATTGTATTTTATTATTGAATGGAACAGTGTTACAGTCACACCTCGCTTATAGTTTCCGTTATCTACTCATGATCTGATTTCGAAAATGGTCATTCAGTATGGTATCCCGCGACATCTGACATCAAACGCATCGAATTCTATTCTCTTTGCATCATTGTTTCGATTTTGTCACACAAAAGTCCTGCCTCGAGTCTCTTCGGAATGTTATGTCGCTCCTAAAACACAGTACATCCTCAGGAAGAATAAGTAAGTCTCAGACTCTCACAAAAATGTCTCATAGTAGCCTGGCCGCATACAGAAAACTGTCAATCGATTACTCGAAGCGCCATTGTCGAATATTGCAGCTTCTTCCAGGAACTCATGAAGAAATACATTGTACCCTTCAACTTGTCAACCTAGATGAATCGACTCCACCCTACGAATGTGTTTCATATGTCTGGGGTGACCTTGCCATTTCGAAGCCCATCTGGGTAGAAGGCCAAGAGCTACAGGTCACAACAAACCTTTTGGAATTCCTACAGCATATCAGACACCCGCATGATGCTATCACACTCTGGATAGATGCGGTATGTATGAACCAAGACGACCTGGTGGAAAAGTCACATCAAGTCTGGATGATGGGTGACATATACTCCCGATGTTCTGTTGTTCATGTCTGGTTGGGTGCCCCACAAAAGCCGATAACAACTGATCCCTTTTCCCTCATCAGACACTTTGCGAATGGTAATCACATTCATGCTCTTCCTGGCTTCTCTAAGGACCAAAAAGGAGAATGGACTTTCGAGACGAACGAAATTTTCATGTCTATTTGGGAAAGCTTTCTGAACATCTCGAATAGTTTATGGTGGACCAGAGCATGGACAGTGCAAGAGATTATCTTGCCAGAAAGATCACTTGTGTGGTATGGACCTTGGAAAACAACGTACGAGACAATTTCTTTGGCTAGAGAAAATCGGAATGACCACCTTCGAACGTGCTGCGCACGGTCTTTGGAACTTATCCCCAATACCTTGAGGCGCCAGCTCGACTTTTTCCTCGGTGATGTTGAACGAATTGATTACATACACTATCCTCGTCATTGGAAGAGCGACCCAGCGCTCGCTTCTAGAGTCATGTCGAGGCTTCCCACGGAACCCCGGAAACTCGCGGAAATCATTCTTTCGTTCGCTTCTCGAACTTGCAAGGACCCTCGAGATAAAGTTTATCCACTGCTGGGCTTAGCTGAGCGTTCCGTCTTCGAGAATTATCGGCCGAATTACGATCATAAGGTGGCTACATGTTACACAGAAGTGTTTCGACGCTTACTTCAAGAAAATGGAAATGACTATCGAATCCTGATCGGCAATGCATTTGGCATAACCTATCTACACCTTCCATCGTGGGTTCGCGACTTCTCCCAGGTTTATTCGCGACATCTAGTTGGCATTGAACTCCGGAGACTACACGTCTACGACCTCTACAACAGCTCAGGTGGAAGTTTCGGTGAAGTTGAGATCAAAAATGAGAAAGAGCTTCGAGTGACTGGGCTGAAGGTGGACACTGTCATCGAAGTCGGGCCAGCCATCGACTATATTAAAGCTGGCGGTGCCGCCATACAGGTTCCTCTTGAAGAATGGACGAAGATGTGCGGGCGAGCAATCAACTCGACTAATGGAAAGATCATCCAGAACGCTCTATCCCGAGTTCTATGCGGCGAACTCAACCACGACCTGATGGTTCCAGGGGACTGGAGGCGCCACAAGGATAGTGATGCTCCTAGCGAAGTAGCATGGCAGAAGTTCTTGTCTGGTGAGATCTCGGCACTGGAAAATGCCTACCTGGGAGCTGTTGAGTTAGTCACTGCTGGACGATCACTGTATAGGACTCAGAATGGGAATGTAGGTATCTGTAATGTGGGAGCAGAGCCGGGCGATGAAGTATGGGTGCTTTATGGTATGAAGGTCCCTTTTACTTTACGGAGTGTGGGTGAACTACACAAGATATTGATAGGTGACTGTTTTTTATTGAATGCTATGGATGGAGAATATTTGGAAATTATTAGAAGGGAAAAAGATTTAATTATTATTTAATTAATTCTTATTAATTTAACTTTTTATGATACGGTTATGAGAGGTTAAAAGGCTTCAGCCCCCAGCGTACAAAGTTAAAGAACACCATTGAACACATACGGGTATTATACTCATCGCCCTCACCGTTACCTAGCATCTTACCTTTGGCTGAAGAGTTAGATACCTGGGCCCAACCGCATTTGTCCCGTCTCTCTCAGTCCTTTGAAGGTATGGCGGGCTTTCCGCTTCGTCAGAGTGGGCAGGTTCGTCGGCGAAGAGGCAGTCAACTAAATTGACCTGTAAGTACACTTATTCAAAATGAATGCAAGATGTCATATTTAATCGTCTCGTTGGAAGGTTTATCTAGCACCACTATCTCCTGTGTCACGGGGCTTTAATTCTAAGCCATGAAAGACAGTACAAGCTCATCACATAAGAGCCTCTCCTCTGTTGTGTGATGCTGATGATATCATCCCAGTACCGCGTCTTGAGCGGTCACGGTGGCCTAGCCAGGAGCACAATTATCCACCACCGACTATGGGAGCACTGTCAGCATCTCGTCAGGGGAATCATCTTTGGCCAGGAGAAGCGATCCAAAGCAAAGACAAGAACCCGAGGATCCATCGAAGCTCTTCTGTTGATCATAGAATGGCACCCACAAGCGATTCACTTACCGCCGGCTTCAAATGGCTGGGACTCGTCTACTTTGCTCACCGACTTCTATCCTCGGGATGATCAGTTCGATAATCAAGCAGATACTGCTGATGATAACGAAGCGCAGTGGCTAAGAGATGTTATACTACCCGCCAAGACCTCGGATCGCATGCCGTGGATGTTGCTAGGCTGTGTGCAGTCTTTGGCTCTTGAGCTTGGACTTTGTGATGATGGCGAAAGAGTTGACGTGTCTGCGAAACCAGCCGGATTCAAGGCCGAGCAGACACGATTGCGCGATCTGCTATATATATTTCTGGAGCAGCAGTCAAGTCGACTAGGATGTCCTTCTATGATGCCTACTTCTGTCTCGCGCTTCATGTCAGAGTCTTCCAGAAGAGACGTACAGGGCGATTCAGCCATAATAGGAGTAAGGTTATAGGTAGTTAAAAGAGGCTTTAGCCTTTAGTATATAAAGGTAAAGAATACTAATAAATATATATAGGTAAGATACTTATTACCTTTATTATTACCTAGGATCTTAGTTTTAGTTAAAAAGTTAATATTTTAATAACTAACTTTAAAAGTATATAAATAAGTAATTATTACTTTTTTATAAAGATAATTAAGCTTAAAATATATAAAATATATATAAGGTAAAATATTTAATAAAAGTAAGTATATTAACTTAAAATAACCTTTTTAAAATAACCTTTACTATAACTATATAATAGTTAATTAATTAATAGCCTAGGCTATTTTCTTACTTTTTAATATATTTTATACTATATAATATTA